CATGAGACTCCACAGTAGATGGATAAGAAAAGGCACATTTAAAATTGTATATAACAAATAGTACACTCACCTGCTGCTGCTCTGTGGCTTCTGTTGGAGACTGATGTTGTCCAGGGAAAGACGGAATGGTTTTATACACCAGCCAGTTATCCTCCATGGAGCATCGTGACACTGTGACGTAACAATGGTCACTGTCATGTAACTACCCTGACAATACCATGCCTGTATTGGTTCGTTTGTGACGTAATAATGAAGTGTAGGTATGTTCAAGTCTGAGACACGATGTCCATCATGAATCATGCGTCCTTCCCCGCATCAATGGGACTGTAGTACCCCGAGGCAGGATTTAGACAAAACAATTACAGGTTCATCAACAGATATGGTTACAATGACATATTCATTGACTTACATGACTGCCTGTCATACAAACGTTCCTTAGAAATTTTGTAATATAATGATAATACAAGCCTTCAAAATATAGTGTAAAAAAGTTTTAAAACTGGAAAACATAATTTTATGATATATGTATAAACTAAACAATAAATCAGTGGCCCAAGACACAATAAATAATGATACCGTTGATTGTAGATATTCGTGCACACACATATCTCTGTATTTTGTATTATGATGAAAAATATAGCCAGAGGCTTGAAATTAAAAGCAACCTGGTCAGTATTTTAGTCACTTTGTGACTATAGCTATTTTGATGTCATACACAGCTTATGCATGGTAGCTGAATAGAATTGTATATGATTCCCAACCTGAAATGGATGCTTCAATGATTATAGAAACGTGTTTATACCTATAAATATAGGTATAGTATATAAGTATAAGTATAGGACATTGTTGGGGGATGGTGTGAGGTGTATAATATGTAGTTCATGGTGTGAGGTGTATAATATGTAGTTCATGGTGTGAGGTGTATAATATGTAGTTCATGGTGTGAGGTGTATAATATGTAGTTCATGGTGTGAGGTGTATAATATGTAGTTCATGGTGTGAGGTGTATAATATGTAGTTCATGGTGTGAGCTGTATAATATGTAGTTCATGGTGTGAGGTGTATAATATGTAGTTCATGGTGTGAGGTGTATAATATGTAGTTCATGGTGTGAGGTGTATAATATGTAGTTCATGGTGTGAGGTGTATAATATGTAGTTCATGGTGTGAGGTGTATGATGTGTAGTTCATGGTGTGAGGTGTATAATATGTAGTTCATGGTGTGAGGTGTATAATATGTAGTTCATGGTGTGAGGTGTATAATATGTAGTTCATGGTGTGAGGTGTATAATATGTAGTTCATGGTGTGAGGTGTATAATATGTAGTTCATGGTGTGAGGTGTATAATATGTAGTTCATGGTGTGAGGTGTATAATATGTAGTTCATGGTGTGAGGTGTATAATATGTAGTTCATGGTGTGAGGTGTATAATATGTAGTTCATGGTGTGAGCTTTATGATATGTAGTTCATGGTGTGAGCTGTATGATGTGTACTTCATGGTGTGAGCTGTATGATGTGTACTTCATGGTGTGAGCTTTATGATATGTAGTTCATGGTGTGAGCTGTATGATGTGTACTTAATGGTGTGAGCTTTATGATGTGTACTTCATGGTGTGAACTTTATGATGTGTACTTCATGGTGTGAGCTGTATGATGTGTACTTAATGGTGTGAGCTTTATGATGTGTACTTCATGGTGTGAACTTTATGATGTGTACTTCATGGTGTGAGGTGTATAATATGTAGTTCATGGTGTGAGCTGTATGATGTGTACTTCATGGTGTGAGCTGTATGATGTGTACTTCATGGTGTGAGGTGTATAATATGTAGTTCATGGTGTGAGCTGTATGATGTGTACTTCATGGTGTGAGCTGTATGATGTGTACTTCATGGTGTGAGCTTTATGATATGTACTTCATGGTGTGAGCTGTATGATGTGTACTTCATGGTGTGAGCTGTATGATGTGTACTTCATGGTGTGAGCTGTATGATATGTACTTCATGGTGTGAGCTGTATGATGTGTACTTCATGGTGTGAGGTGTATGATGTGTACTTCATGGTGTGAGCTGTATAATATGTAGTTCATGGTGTGAGTTGTATGATGTGTACTTCATGGTGTGAGCTGTATAATATGTAGTTCATGGTGTGAGCTGTATGATGTGTACTTCATGGTGTGAGCTGTATAATATGTAGTTCATGGTGTGAGCTGTATGATGTGTAGTTCATGGTGTGAGCTGTATGATGTGTACTTCATGGTGTGAGTTGAATGATGTGTACTTCATGGTGTGAGCTGTATGATATGTACTTCATGGTGTGAGCTTTATGATGTGTAGTTCATGGTGTGAGCTGTATGATGTGTAGTTCATGGTGTGAGTTGTATGATGTGTACTTCACGGTGTGAGCTGTATGATGTGTACTTCATGGTGTGAGCTGTATAATATGTACTTCATGGTGTGAGGTGTATGATGTGTACTTCATGGTGTGAGGTGTATAATATATAGTTCATGGTGTGAGCTGTATAATATGTAGTTCATGGTGTGAGGTGTATAATATGTAGTTCATGGTGTGAGCTGTATGATGTGTACTTCATGGTGTGAGCTGTATAATATGTAGTTCATGGTGTGAGGTGTATGATGTGTACTTCATGGTGTGAGGTGTATAATATGTAGTTCATGGTGTGAGCTGTATGATGTGTACTTCATGGTGTGAGGTGTATAATATGTAGTTCATGGTGTGAGCTGTATAATATGTAGTTCATGGTGTGAGGTGTATGATATAAAACAGACAGTTACGTTTAACACTTAGGATGTTGAAACGGGTGGGTAAATTAGATTGTATCACACTAATCAAACTAGTCATACTCGAGATGGGAAGTTGTGAGTGAGTGAGTGTTTTACGCCACAACAGTTGTACCATAGACTTTCAACTGTGTATGTAAGTAGGTTTAAAATCATTCACGTCGTAGGCGTTTTCAGTTTTGCTAACTGAACTTTAATGAACACTGACACTGACGTGTGACGAAGATGGTAGGGAGATCTACACAGTGATGACGATGATGTACTGGCAAATACACTGTATTGCAATATATTGCGATTCAGGTACCCGATACGAATTGCGATAGATTGGGAGGCTTAAGTGTTTAACAGTGAGTGACACTAATTGTGCATGTCAGTCCTACCGTCATAATTTAATTTAAATCATAAAGATAACAACAACAAAAACTTCATATATGTTCTATACCCACTATACTGGTTCTCAAGAATTGCAAGACGTATCATTTGAAAAGCATATTCCGATGTACCGATATACCGGTAATTCCTTGCAGTCCAAAGCAACATGTGCTGCAATAGTGAGTGAGTGAGTGAGTGAGTTATTTGTAGTGTCACATCGGCAATGGATCAGTCATATCGTGACCAGAACAATTTATATATTAATACTAAAATTAATATATTTAGAACGTAAAAATACTGCCATCAAAGAACAGTAAAACCACTAGAGTATCACAGCTCTAAACTTAAAACTAGTATAATGTCATAAAAAAAGATATCACCATAGACAACATTACAAAAAGAAACAGACTATAGATCACCAGCACCTGAAAACTGATCACCATTCTAAGGAACATTATTAAAAAGTTCCTGAACTGTTTTTACATTGAAATACTTATCCCTTGTGACGGAAAAACGAACACAGTCAAGCAGGACATGATCTATTCATCACAAGGGATGCAAGTTGGAGGATCTCCACCTTTTAACAAATACTGATGAGCATGTCTTGTGTGGCCAATGTTGCCAAGAGCCGTTGATATGGTGTTTGCTTCTGCTGGAAATATAGAGCTGTTATCCGGTTTTCTAAAAGATATTGCTCTGGATCCAACGACAGTGGCACAAGCAACTGCGCCACCATCCTTGGATCCATTAGAAAATAAAGATTTGTATGTATTATATTTACTTTTTAATTGATTACATTCTTGTTTTTATTGTCATTCCTTAGTTTTATATTTTGTAAATGTTGTCAGTGTTGGGTTAATTCGTGTCCTCACTAATTGTCAAGGAGAAAAAAGAAGGCGGCAAGGAGATATAATTTCTAGCTCAAAACCAGCAGCAGAAAAGGAAGCTTTTATTCTTACTCCTAGGAGCGGAATAAGAGACGAGTTCTTGTTGTACAAATCCTCATAAAGAGGATTAAAAACACAGTTAAATGCAGGGTTAGACTCGTTAAAATATAGTTTTGTTATATACTGCAAGATAATTTTATACGGCGTTGATTAAGCGATGGCTCATCGGCCTCGACGTAAAGACTGTCAACAGGAGACGTTCTAAAGGATCTAAGACAAAGTCATCGACCTTGGTGGTGGACAGAATCTAACAGTTTCAGGCTGCTTTCGCAGGTTCCACTATGGAGCCAAAGTCTAGTTTCGAGCGGACTAATGATCTATAAAAGTGAAGGAGTGTAGCTTGATCCCCTCTCACTTCGAATTAGAAACGACTTTCAATAAATCAAGTGCCTTCAGGCATTTAGTATTTAGGCATTTGATATGCGGAAGAAAAGCTAAATGGGAGTCGAAAACTCAGCCCAAGAACTTGGCCTCCTTGACCTCCTTGTAACTGCCTCTCTATTGCATGCATATTTTCACTACCACAAGAAACATTAAATTCATCCACAAAACGTGAACCAACATCTGAATCACTTAAAACCTTTGAAAGACATTTTTATCTTAATGCTAAATAAAGTGACAGATAAAATACTGCCTTGAGGAACACCCTGATCATGATTGTAATGATCAGACAGGTTTGACCCCACTCGGACTTAAAAAATTGTCTGTCTGTTAAAAACTGTGATGCCAAAGACGGTTAACGACCTCTCAAACCAAAACCAGGTAAATCCTTTAAAATGCCGTGCTTGCATGTAGTTTCATAGACTTTCTCTTGATCGATGAAAATTGATACTACGTGTTGTTTAGTTGTAATAGCATATTAGACAAAGGATTTTAACCGTACTAATCGTTGCAGGGGTTTGGACGGTAACATGGGTGTATGTCGTAGCAGGGGTTTGGACGGTAACATGGGTGTATGTCGTAGCAGGGGTTTGGACGGTAACATGGGTGTAGGCCGTAGCAGTGGTTAGGGCCGCTGCAGGGGTTTGGGCGGTAACATGGGTGTAGGCCGTAGCAGTGGTTTGGGCGATAACATGGGTGTAGGCCGTAGCAGTGGTTAGGGCCGCTGCAGTGGTTTGGGCGATAACATGGGTGTAGGCCGTAGCAGTGGTTAGGGCCGCTGCAGGGGTTTGGGCGGTAACATGGGTGTAGGTCGAAGCAGTGGTTAGGGCCGCTGCAGTGGTTTGGACGATAACATGGGTGTAGGCCGTAGCAGTGGTTAGGGCCGCTGCAGGGGTTTGGGCGGTAACATGGGTGTTGGTCGTAGCAGCGGTTAGGGCCGCTGCAGGGGTTTGGGCGGTAACATGGGTGTAGGCCGAAGCAGTGGTTAGGCAGCCGCTGCAGTGGTTTGGGCTGAAACATGGGTGTAGGCCGCTGCAGGTGTTTGGGCGGTAACATGGGTGTAGGCCGTAGCAGGTGTTTGGGCGATAACATGGGTGTAGGCCGCTGCAGGTGTTTGGGCGGTAACATGGGTGTAGGCCGTAGCAGGTGTTTGGGCGATAACATGGGTGTAGGCCGTAGCAGGGGTTTGGGCGATAACATGGGTGAAGGCCGCTGCAGGTGTTTGGGCGGTAACATGGGTGTAGGCCGTAGCAGGGGTTTGGGCGATAACATGGGTGTAGGCCGTAGCAGTGGTTTGGGCGGTAACATGAGTGTAGGCCGCTGCAGGTGTTTGGGCGGTAACATTGGTGTAGGCCATAGCAGGGGTTTGGGCGGTAACATGGTTGTTAGCCGTGGCAGTGGTTTGGGCCGCTGCAGGGGTTTGGGCGGTAACGTGGGTGTAGGCCGTAGCAGGGGTTTGGGCAGTAACATGGTTGTTAGCCGTGGCAGTGGTTTGGGCCGCTGCAGGGATTTGGGCGGTAACATGGGTGTAGGCCGTAGCAGTGGTTTGGGCGATAACATGGGTGTAGGCCGCTGCAGGTGTTTGGGCTGTAACGTGGGTGTAGGCCGTAGCAGTGGTTTGGGCGATAACATGGGTGTAGGCCGCTGCAGGTGTTTGGGCTGTAACGTGGGTGTTGGACGTAGCAGTGGTTTGGGCGGTAGCATGGTTGTTATCCGTAGCAGTGGTTTGGGCGGTAACATGGGTGTAGGCCGTAGCAGGTGTTTGGGCGGTAACATGGGTGTAGGCCGTAGCAGGGGTTTGGGCGGTAACATGGGTGTTGGCCGTAGCAGTGGTTAGGGCCGCTGCAGGGGTTTGGGCTGAAACATGGTGTAGGCCGCAGCAGTGGTTTGGGCCGCTGCAGATATATTTCCAATATCCGAGTTATAGGGAAAAGTTATTCACTGTAGGAAAGACGTGGTGAAGGTAGTATACGCTTAATACTTTAGATAGTACCAGGCATTGCTCATGGCGAGGAGACATCTGGTAATAAGAAGACGGTCTTCATTTTCAGGGACGGTTTGGTGGCCTAGTGGTTACAGCGTCACGCCAAAGACCCGGGTTCGATTCCCGACATGTGTGAAGCCTATTTCTGGATCTCCTGTCCTGATATTGCTGGAATATTGCTGGAATATTGCTTAACGGGGCGTAAAAAACATCCTTACTCACACGTTTTTTAGGGGAACGCACTTCAGGAAATTATACGGGATTATATGGCATAACAGTAGATCGAGATATGTGATATTAGTTCACATTAAAACATTACTCGTTGATGACCAGTTGCTGGAATAGTCAGATGCTGAGTGTGTGCGCTCGAGGCGTGAAAAGTCGACTGTTCGTCATCTTGCTGACTGTGACATAACAATGGTCATGCATCTAACCAGTTAAATAAAAAATGTTACACTCACGGGTTATTGTTTATCTTTTTGGGCGTTGCTTAAAACTAGACATCATTATTTTGCAAAATATCGCAAGTTTCCTAATTGTTCCTAGTTTATAAGTAAAATGCTGGTTCATGTTGTGCATACTCGGGTTTCTATGGTAATAGTTGTTGATGTATTGTTAACTTTCATTTCTTGGGCCAAGGTAGGGCAAATAAACAAAAAGAGGAATTCGTCTCTAATATCGTTTGAATTACAAAGAGAATCTTTCATTTATGGGGTGTTTTAATCCATCGTCCTGTTTCAACTGGAAGGTAATGGTTTGAGGTTCTGAAATTATATAACGCCCTCCGATTATTATAATGTAATGAATTCAGTTAGGTTTCGTATTTTAATTCAGAATTTTATAAATATCATAAACAGCTCCTCTTGACACAGTCAACAGTGTTGTGTTGGTTGAAGAACATGTGATGCGATACAAACAATGTTGCAAGCCCTTCACTCATCGTTACCGATCATTCATTACGTCAGAACAGGCCATCATGCATATGCGTCATGATGTTTTATTACATAACGCCATCAATCATACAACAGCGTTCAAACAGGACCGGGAGGTAAATTAAATAAAGCCATCTATCTCAAATACAAAACGAAATGTCACTCTTAATATGACACAATTTCCGGGCTAGATTGAACTGGTTGGACCAAAATCTAGTTCAGCAGCGTTTCATCTATCATAGACATTTTCAGACAGGATTGAATCCAAGCAAGGATTAGAAACTACTCTCTGACTCTCTAATGCAGGACGATTCTGTTGGCTGGTTTTTCCAGTGATATAACACAAGCTGTGTAGAAAATAACACTCTCTTAAGAACATGGAATGTATAGATACATGAGCATTAAACACCAACCACTTTTTCTATGATCAGTACGAAAACATAACATTTTTGCTTGGAAAACCACATTCCGCACATCATAATGAAATGAAAACAAAAACAAAACTGAAATTGTGATTTGGTGACAGTAAACATGCAACCTGCCCAAGAATATCCCCAAACGAGAATATCCCCAAGCGAGAATATCCCCAAACGAGTATATCCCCAAACGAGAATATCCCCAAACAAGAATATCCGAAAAAAACAAGAATATCCCCAAACGAGAATATCAACGATACCAGATTAGCTCCGTGTCCGATTGTCACACAGTTCTCAAATCAATTACAGGAGTGACTGGATGAACCACCATTGGCGACCACATCTGTTCCTGGTGTAACCACCCCTCGCACGGTAAACACCTGCCAGTCTCTTCCTCCTCATACGGACAATCAGGCATTGGATTCTCAGTATTGAAATCCTCGATGCCGTTCCTCATTGGATGCCTGCGTCAGTGCCTGCAAATTGTAAACAGGAGAATCTCTAACTCGAACTTGAAGTCCAAAACAGCTCCGAAGATGCTTGACTCGGTTCACACCCGGACTCATTGCGAGTCATGGTGATGTTGCGATGGCGATGTCCTGCAAATGGGCGATGACGGCTCGAGGTCTACCGTTGTCACCCCTAAATTTCCCACGGTGTCCCACTCTCGGGGCTGTTCTTCTAACTGGGTAATAAATTAGAACATCACGTTTATTGTCTTCAAGGTCTTGGACGATCCTTTACTTTACGCGCTTCCTCACATGTCGACTAGTAATTGTGTGGGTAATGTTAAAATTAGCGCCGATGTTGTGACGGGACATCTCTGCGACATGCATGCCTGTAACCTGCTATCGTGTATTTTCCGAACGCCTACGTCAAGTTAATGTTTAGTACTGTCGTCTTCAGAAACCTGTGGTCCGCATACTGCAGCTGTGCAACTTATCCCTCAATGGACTTGGGGCCTCCAGAGTACATCTTATGAGATATTGTGTGAAGCACGTGTTTTACAATATGGCCTGTTTCGACCAACATTATCAAACATCTACAACACTCCTTAGTCCAGGGGGAACTTCAACAACACCCCTTAGTCCAGGGGGAACATCAACAGCAATACTTAGTCCTTGGGGAACATCAACAGCACCCCTTAGTTCATGGGGAACATCAACAATACTCCTTAGTTCACAGGAACATCAACAACATCCCTTAGTTCACGGGGAACATCAACAACATCCCTTAGTTCACGGGGAACATCAACAGCACCATTTAGTTCACGGGAAACATCAGCAACGCTACTTATTTCACGGGAAACATCAACAGCACCATTTAGTTCACGGGAAACATCATCAACACTCCTTAGTTCTCGGGGAACATCAACAATACTTCTTAGTTCACGGGGAACAACAACAACACTCCTTAGTTCACGGGGAACAACAACAACACCCCTTAGTCCACGGGAAACATCAGCAACACTCCTTAGTTCACACGAAACATCAACAACACCCCTTAGTCCACGGAGAACATCAGCAGCACTCCTTAGTCCACGGAGAACATCAACAACACTCCTTAGTTCACGGGGAACATCAACAACACTCCTAAGTTCACGGGGAACATCATAAACACTCCTTAGTTCACGGGGAACATCAACAACACTCCTTAGTTCACGGGAAACATCATCAACACTTCTTAGTCCAAGGGAAACATCAACAACACTCCTTAGTTCACAGGAAACATCAACAACACTCCTTAGTTCACGGGAAACATCATCAACACTTCTTAGTCCAAGGGAAACATCAACAACACTCCTTAGTTCACAGGAAACATCAACAACACTCCTTAGTTCACGGGAAACATCATCAACACTTCTTAGTCCAAGGGAAACATCAACAACACTCCTTAGTTCACAGGAAACATCAACAACACTCCTTAGTTCACGGGAAACATCATCAACACTCCTTGGTCCACGGGAAACATCAACAACACCCCTTAGTTCACAGGAAACTTCAACAACACCCCTTAGTCCAGGGGGAACATCAACAGCAATACTTAGTCCATCGGGAACATCAACAGCACCCCTTAGTTCATGGGGAACATCAACAACACTCCTTAGTTCACGAGGAACATCAACAACATCCATCAGTTCACGGGGAACATCAACAACATCCCTTAGTTCACGGAGAACATCAACAGCACCATTTAGTTCACGGGAAACATCATCAACGCTACTTAGTTCACGGGGAACATCAACAACACTCCTTAGTTCACGGGGAACATCATCAACACTCCTTAGTTCACGAGGAACATCAACAACATCCATTAGTTCACGGGGAACATCAACAACATCCCTTAGTTCACGGGAAACATCATCAACATCCCTTAGTTCACGGGAAACATCATCAACACTCCTTAGTTCACGGGAACATCAACAACACTCCTTAGTTCACGGGAACATCAACAACACTCTTAGTTCACGGGGAACATCAACAACACTCCTTAGTTCACGGGGAACATCAACAACACTCCTTAGTTCACGGGAAACATCAACAACACTCCTTAGTTCACGGGAACATCAACAACACTCCTTAGTTCACAGGGAACATCAACAACACTCCTTAGTTCACGGGAAACATCAACAACACTCCTTAGTTCACGGGAAACATCAACAACACTCCTTAGTTCACGGGAAACATCAACAACACTCCTTAGTTCACTTTAGTTCAACAACACTGGTTCAAACATCAACAACACTCCTTCAGTTCACGGGGAACATCAACAACACTCCTTAGTTCACGGGAGCATCATAAACACTCCTAGTTCACGGGTTCAAAACACATCAACAACGCTTTAGTCCACAGGAAACATCCAACACTCAACAAACATCAACAACAACACTCCTTAGTTCACGGGGAACATCAACAACATCCCTTAGTTCACGGGGAACATCAACAACACCATTTAGTTCACGGGAAACATCAACAACACTCCTTAGTTCACGGGAAACATCAACAACACTCCTTAGTTCACGGGAAACATCAACAACACTCCTTAGTTCACGGGGAACATCAACAACACTCCTTAGTTCACGGGGAACATCAACAACACCCCTTAGTTCACGGGAAACATCAACAACACTCCTTAGTTCACGGGAAACATCAACAACACTCCTTAGTTCACGGGAAACATCAACAACACTCCTTAGTTCACGGGGAACATCAACAACACTCCTTAGTTCACGGGAAACATCAACAACACTCCTTAGTTCACGGGAACATCAACAACACTCCTTAGTTCACGGGAAACATCAACAACACTCCTTAGTTCACGGGAAACATCAACAACACTCCTTAGTTCACGGGAAACATCAACAACACTCCT